ACACACACACACACACAGATGCACATACACACACACAGATAAAATACAAATTACACAAAATGTTGATGTGCAATTGTTCAGATAAAGTCATTAAAGTCAGAATTTCATACCTCACATTTGAAATCGTGGGCTTTAGCATGAAAGACTGAAAGAAATGGCTTCATGCTAAGAAGGTGCTGGAGCTCTGGACAGCTTTTTGTTACTCTTTCAAGATATGGCCAATACTTGCAGGTAACATCCATACAAAAAAAAGTGATATGTCTATTGGCCAGCTTTTGTTGCAGGTACAAGGGATAAGCAAAAATTTCACCCCTGTACATATTTAGAGCACGGAGCAGCACTCCATGCCTACACACTGCAAGCTCCAGTCCCTCCTCATCCACCTTGCTGCTGGATCTTTGGGAGGTCTCTCTGGCTGCTGACCACTCCCCTCCACAAACACCTCGTCCGGAGACCTAAAATGCATTAAATAGCTGGTGACAATGTCTTTTCACAATCTCTTCAACAGAGTGTTAAAGGTTAACATAATTATGTCTATGTAATTAGAGCGTTCAATCTTACATGTCTGGATGTGCTGTGTATGTAGTCCACAAATCTTCCCACATCTTCATCCTTTGCTATGAAGGCGTCTTCAAAGATGCCCAGTTCCTCAGATCTGAACAAAATAGCAATACAGTATACTTTATGGTGTCATACAAAGTAAGTCCAAAGTTAATTGGTGCACCTTATAGTCACATTGTCTGAAACAAACGTTGGTATTACACATATTTTGCTGTACCTGGCTGCATTCTTGAAACGGTAATGCTTGCGGTTTCCATCCACTGAAATTGCAAGCATGTCTGGGGCACATGCATGACATGTGAAGGGATCCTCCTTTAAAATCTTGTCTAATTCATATCGCACGGCTTCCCACTCAAAGAAACTTTTCTGAAAGCCATCTGCAGAGATCTTTCCCGTCTGGTTTAAAATGAAAGACATAAACAGAAAACAACTACGCTACAAGTGACTTTTAAATCCTGAATAACACAGAAGAACCATACTGTAAAGGATGCATAAACTAAAATGCTCACACGGCCAAAGTGGAGAGTTCGTTGATCAAGCATTTTTAAA